TGTATGAGTTTTTCGTCTCAGGAAATTCATTTCGAAGCTACAGGACTAATTACAGTAATTTGTCACAGTTTTTGACAAATTTGGCAAAAAATAAGCGTTCGTTGGCCGTGGTTTTCTATCATACCACTTGACCAAATTATTCGGTTTAGGTAATTCGAAGCACGATTTAACGTTTTTTAATTTATTAAGATGCACATTTTTCGCTTCGATGCACCGTTAAGGAGTTGTTTGTGAAAAAACAAAAAAAGATAAAAAGTACGTTTTTTCTGCTGTAAAAAATGCTATGCTAAAAAAAATAGCATTACTTCAGTAAGACATTCAAATAAAGGATATAACATTTACAGTAGAACATATTAAAAAAAAAAAAAAAAAAAAAAAACGGAGACCATATCTTTGCTCCTAATTGTCCGATTTTAACAATTTTTTCTTTTTTTTAGGAAATTTCGTAAACTTTTAAAAAACTTTTCGAGTTATTCGGAATTTAATTTTACCATCCCTCGTAACTTTTTTTTCTGCTTCTTTTCGTTAAAGTATGTTATATAGATAAAATTAAAGGGCGTCGAGAAAATGACTTTAGCGAAGTTTCATTGAAATCTGTACATTCGTTTAGGAGCTACAGTCTATAGCAACGCAGGTTTTTCGGCATCCATTTTGAAAGTTAAAGGCGGAGAGTAATGTCGATGAAGGAGGATGATCCTCGGGTGACGTCTGATTGTATATCAAAATTTGAAAAAAAAAATCGGTCCAGTAGTTTCGGAGAAAATGTGTTGACGGCGAACGGCGGACAGATGAAAAAAATCGTTTTTCGAATTCTATGTACCCTGAAACGTGAAACCTCAAATTTTGGGAGGGGGTTAAGTTTTTGAATTTTTTGGTCGATCACAATGGTTGATTATTGAAAATAATAAACCAAAATTAAATCCTAGATACCTAGAAATACCTACTTGAATGGAGAAGATGTATCCATAACATTAGAGCTGATATGGAAACAATAATTTCATATTTAGATAATGTGCCCTCAATATAGTTATTATCAGTTGGTTGGTTGTTCCGATATTTTGGTAAAACATCCAGGTCAACAACGTCCCATTAACAAAATAATACCACTTTAAAACTATTCAGATGGTATGTTTAAAAAGAATAAATAAATAAAATTAAATTAATAAACTTTAATAAAAGATATAAATAAATTGTAAAAGGAATGGCGGACGATCATTAGTTGTAAACTTCATAAATATGTTTTATAAGACTTTCTTTTTGTAAGAGATTGATAACTTTAGATACTTTGTATTCCTGGTTCCCCAGAGATGCTGATATATTCATGGAAATTCCAAATTATTTTAACCTTTTGATGCAAAATGGAAATTCTTTTAAATCATTATTTTGCAGTTAACAACTTATCAAATTTTTGAAACCTGAGGGTAAAATATTTTGTTATGAGGTGGAGCTGTGACATCCTGGTACGACCGATCCTTCCTCACGTGAGGACGATTTCCCAAGGACTGCTGCGTTTAGAGTTGCTCCACGGTTGCACTTATTTCTTTATAATCTTTAGTATGCTTGGTGTGCTGTTGTCACACAGTCTCTGCCATTCTTGAAAAATAAGTTCTTATAGGAGCCGCGCCACTTCGGAGACTGTCGAGACAACTTTGCCACGACCTGGAAGGGTAAGAGCTTCTTTTGATGCTCCAGACAAAATGTTTCGTTATACAACACTATGAAGCATTTTTTTATAAGTCTTAAGATGCTGTGTATCCGTGGATGGAAACATGTTATTCATATCTTTTAGAGTACTTAGCGAATCACCATAACACCATTACATTTCTTCCTGAGGTCTTTCTGACGTATCAGAGACTCATTGCAATGGAGATAATTTCTGCTGTATTTAATTATAATTGTCAAGGCAGAAAAATTGTTTTTTTCTTATTACGATCTGTGATTCTTAATAAACCTGTGTTATAATTGTTGCAAATAATACAAAAACCATCTAGTCCTGGAGCCAGGGCCCAATAATCGACCTGATCGCAGACGAAGGTTTGATTGTAAATTACGAAATTGTATGTTATTCTAAATAAAAACCACCTTGTCTGCCATTATAGGGCCTCTGCTTTCAAAAACTGCGGCTGATTTAAAGAATATTAGACCAGTAACTTGATGATCTAAACGGGAAATCAATTGCGAAAAATGTAAGAAAAGTTATTGTATTTTTATTTATGTATATAAGGGTTTAGAAATATAAAAGCAAACGTTTTACAGCTATAACGGTCAGATTTTCTGATATTGTTTTGTGAATATCAAAGTGAAAAATATGCTCTTTAATAAATTAAAGAAATCAAATTATTAAGTTTAGATAATCGTTTGACGCATAATTGAACTTTCTGTAATTTCTTAATGAATAAATTTTTCGCTTTGATGCATCATCTAGGAGTTATTGTTGAAAAAAAAAATATTAAAAATATCTGACATTTTTGGCTGTAAAATGTTTTCCCTTGGTGGCCCGCGTTAGAAATTTTATTTTTTATATGTCTAAACTCATATATACAAGTTGAAAATATAAAAACTTTTCTCACGTTTTTCGCAATTGATTTCCACTTTTGATCCTCAAGTTACTGGCCTAATATTCTTTAATTAGCCGCCATTTTTGAAAGCAGCGGCTCTGGAATGGCAGACAAGGATTTTACTCAGAATAACATACACTTTCATAATTTACAATCAAACCTTCGCCGGCGATCAGGTCGATTTTCAGCCCTGGTTCCAGGACTAGATAGTTCTTGTATTATTTGTAACAATTAGTAACACAGATCTATTAAGAATCACATATCGTAATAAGAAACAATTTATTTTCTGCTTAGACAAATAGAATTAATTATAGCAGAGATTATCGCCATCGCAATGAGTCTCCGATACGTCATGAAGACGGCAGACGAAAATGTAAATGACGAAAATGGTGTTATCGGACTTACTAAAGCTATGAATAATATGTATCCAGACCATCCACGGATACATAGTATTTTTTGCCCTGGATCCAGGGCTAATCCATCGGATATGATTAGGACTTTAAATAACAGCTGCTATGGGAGTGTATTCAATAATACTATCTTATATATTATTACTAAAAGGTGTTTTTTTGTCGGTATGCCATAACATCCTCAATTCTTCATCAAATCCAATGATTGACCACTCATTTTGAAGATATTCTTCTCCTTCTCATGTGAGAAGTAATAACTTTCCCTCGAAAAATTTGGAAAAAAGTTATAAAGGAAAAGAAACTTTATTTGCGAATAACTCAAAAATGTAATTTTTCTTGATTGGACCCATCATTATTAGAAAGATTACTGAATTACCTACAAAAAAAAAATCATGGAAATCGATTAGTAATTTGTAAATATGAAACAATTTGTACCGACCGAAGGAGCAAAGTGTGTTCAAACATTTTTTTAAAGAGAAACAGAGTTGAGATTTGTATTTCGCAGCTCGAAATACCCACAAATACGAATTTTCATAGCCATCGAAAAATAATTTTTTTTCTACAAATTGGAGCCTAGGCTTTGATTGTTTTAATTTATTTTTTTCGAAAATTACAAAAAGTGTGATGACTTCAATGACTTCCACCTATCCACTCGAGATTTAGCAAGGATTTAGGGACTTATAAACTACAGGCAATGATACAAACTTTAACCCCATAAATATTTTAGAACTGATGTTATAGAATAAAACTTTTTATCTATTCCTATAAATTAAAAAGTTATTCACACGGTTCTGAATAGCAATAATTCAGCCTTTCAGAGGTCATAGAAACATTGAATTATGGATGAACATTGAATTAAATTCGTGAGGAGTTATGGATGTTCTAGTTGGCGGCAGGGAAAAACAAGTGAGCATTTTTTCCTTCATTGTACTCATCATTATTAGAAAGATTACCTACAAAACACAAAGAAAAATCGGACAATTATTAACAAAGATACAGTCCATTAGATTTGGTATACTTAATATTTTTCCTCTTTAAAAGTAGTTGCATTTACTATTCTGCTACTCTTTTTTTCCTGGCTGACATTAACTTTATAATTTTTTAAATGCATTTTTCGTGAGTATATTTTATATTTTTTTAATAATTTAGAAAATCCCATGGTCGAGGTTTTATTTTTATCATTACCTATCAAGTCACCGTTTAGAAATAGACCCCAGCAATTAATTCTCACACATAATATGAGAGCAATTAATTCCGCCCTCACGTAATAGATAGAATCTGCTTATTTCAAAATTGTTTTGCTATTATTTTACTAAACAAAATTTTCTGCGAATTATTCACACGGGCCAACTAGTCGTTTATTTATTTCTGCACATCTGGACCCATTTGTTTCTTCTTGCAAATAATGTAATTTATAACAAAAGTTTATTTATTTCATAATAAACATTTCTTTTAGGCAATTATTGATACTAACTTTGACTGTAACCCAACATTTCATACACTTAACTTCCTCGAAAATCTTGTGTAAAATATGAAAGAAAAGGAAATGTGGTGAGAAGTTGAATATTATCGCCGATATGCCAATTTTTTTTTTAAATTTTTAATCAATTAATTTACATTTCTAGTTGGGTGAGTGTAGAAATTTGTTGGTAGATTAACTGTACATTAATCATTCTTGTTGAAAAATTTAGTCAGATAAATAAATTATTCCCTTATAAATTAAGTTCCCAAAGCTTCTTACTTTGTACTTTACATTACTTAATGTTTTATATATTTTATATTTTATATATTTATATATTTTACTTAAATTCCACTTCCTTAAATTTCAATGAAATATTTCTTAAAATGTTCGCCTGTTCATCCTTGTTTTAGTATATTGTAGGTCTGTTCAAACAGAGAAGACACGAGAAAGTGTCTTCGTATATTAATAAATATCGTTGAGAAGCAACAAAAATAACATTAGTTTCCTTATTATTTTCTCGGTATAAAAGAAGGGTATGTGACCTCCAGAAGAACTGGAAAGAGTAGGGGAAAATGACGTAGTCAGATGAGAGACCAGAGACGGGAATTTGAATCATACCAAGTCCTACACTTGAGGTGTTAGCTTGTATGCGAAAGAAGCCACCGCTACCTTAATTAACAGTGAGTAATCGGATTTATATTTACGTATGATACTTTATTTATTTTTATATTATATAAAAAAGAAATTTGAAATCAAGTAGTAAAAATCTGCCCCTTATCAAAAGGCAATTGTGGTTCAGTTTTCCGTGCTGAAATGTGTGAAAAATCAAATCATCAAATTTCACAATACATCTTAATCAGTACATATAAATATATAAATATTAAATATATTTAAACATTTTATTTGTCTACTATCTATTATAAATTTAGTTTTATAATTTGTTTTCAGATTTACTTTTCGTGAGTGTTTATCTTATAATTATGAATTATAGGATTCGTTTTAAATTTAAAAAATATTCAAGTAAATTTGAATACAGACTTTAATTACATGACAATTCCTGGTGAAGAAAATACCCATCGGTAGCATTTCAATATATAATTATGACAAATAATCATTTAAAAATCAAAATTATATTTATTGCTTGTACTTAATTTTTTAACAAGTATGTAACGTTTTAAACTAGAAAACAAAAAACTGAGAATAGAAATACTAATTCTAATTTGTTAATAAGATAACTCACAAAATCATATACAAATGTTTAGTTGTGATTCTATTGTACTATAAAATTCATTTTCCTACAGTACGTACTAAGTTGATTCTTAAGTTGAATAAAGAAGTTTTATGTGGAAATCTTAATGGAAATTTAAATTCATATATGGCGTAAATTTAAAGTGGATCAAAATAAAATAAGTATTACATGTTAATATTTTTTTTTATAGTTCGAAAATCATTATTTTAATTGAAATCGTTTATAGAAGCCACGCTCCAATATTTTTGTATAATGTAGGAAATTTAAAAAAAAAAAAAAATCTGAATTTAAAAAGTCTAATAAATATTAGCACTGCTGTGAGTTTTTTTATTTTCAGCTATATCAATTGAATTTATGTGATAATTCATAATTATAACATAAACATTAACGCAAAGTAATGTATCTGAAAACAAATTATAGAACTTAAGTTATAATAGACAGTAGAAAAATAAAATGTTTGAATAAATTTAATTTTAATTTAATGTGAAATTTGATGATTTTGTTTTTCACATACTTATTATTATATTGCAATGCACAATTAATAGTGATTATGACATTGAAATAATTAAAATTTATTTATTTCCATCAGGTTACGAATTCAGTAACGTTTAAGTTTGAACCCATTTAGTTTGTAGAAGATTATTATTAATGGTTCATTAACCGATTAGTTTTAAGAAGTGTCGGATATTATAGAAAATAACGACAAATAATATACACCTCGCTAAGTTAAGAGTTAAGTCTTAAACAATAAAAACATATTTAAATTTTTTGTTTTAATTACATACATGCAATTTATATATTTTTATTTTACTGTAATATGCCATTTTGAAATAAGTAATATTTCTGTAATAAGAAGTAATAATGAGCTAAATCATAGATAAAATAGAAAAGCTCTTCAATCATAAATAATGATTCTCAAGTATTATGTGTATTGTTATAATCTTTCAATTCTTCTGTACACTTTGAAGAAGTTCGTGACTTCACAGTTCTCATCCGGACTTTGAAAAAAAACTATGAGCTGAAAGTTATCCACTTTTTCAAGGTGTCGACAAGGCTAGTGATCACAATAAACATAACTCATCAGGACTATTTTTCTACTTATCAAGTTATTCCTTATGACTATATTTTAGGCTATACTAGGTATTTCCCGGGGCAAGAATGAGGGCGGGGAAATTATACCAGAGTGAAAAGTCTCCCCGTGCTCACAGTGTTCGAGCATACAGTGCAGTTGAAAAAACGAAAGTTGGAATTCAGACAACATTAGTGGCAAGATCCATTAGCATTAGTGACAATGTCCAGCAATTTTAACTTAATTAACGCATGAATAATGTCTTGGTATGAGGAAATATTAGAAAGAAGGAAAATCATCTTTTCTATATTTAGAGGTGGTGTACCTATATTTTTTGTTTAACATAATGGTTTATGCTGAGCAGAATCTGGTCCTTCTAATGAATCCTAAGACAACTGAAATGTCGGTTTTAAAAATAAATAGGATTTACGACGTTTCAAACAATTATAAACAACTTCATTTCATTTCGCAAATCGCCTGAATAACTAGATGGACCCTGTTGTTAACAAAGGTTTGAACTTAATACATATAAATATATAAAAATTAAGTATATTTAAACATTTTATTTTTCTACTATCTATTATAAATTTAGTTTTATAATTTGTTTTTAGATTTACTTTTCATGAGTGTTTATCTTATAATTATGAATTATAGGTTTCGTTTTAAATTTAAAATTTAAAAAATATTCAAGTAAATTTGAATACAGACTTTAATTACATGACAATTCCTGGTGAAGAAAATACCCATCGGTAGCATTTCAATATATAATTATGACAAATAATCATTTAAAAATCAAAATTATATTTATTGCTTGTACTTAATTTTTTAACAGGTATGTAACGTTTTAAACTAGAAAACAAAAAACTGAGAATAGAAATACTAATTCTCTAAACAGTTTTCAGATCTTGCCCTAATCTGCCATCCCGGAAGTTACTGAGTATTTAACATGCGAGGATGCTGAATTTGAAGTGACAATATTTTCTATATATGATATTTTCTATTTGTTTAATTTTTTTTATAGCATATTCACGTTATTGTCTAGTCAGTTTTTATCATTATAACACCTCATGCACTATATTGACCAAATTACTATACATAATAAATATATAACTAGGTTAAGAGTTAAGTTTTAAACAATAAAAATATATTACAATTTTTTGTTTGAATTACATACATGCAATTTTATATATTTTTTTATTTTACTATAACACGTCATTTTGAAATAAGTAATAAATAATGCAAATTCTAAACAATATAATGTTTAAAAATACAAACTACAAGTTAGGAATTGGAAACGGTATGCACCACTCGTTTGGTTTCCATCATTGTATCTAACGAGAATAGTTTAACAGTATTTATTTTAAGTAACCCACTTATACTTAAAATTCTTACTGTTTCATATGAAGCAAGTGTAAAGAGGAATTATTAAAAGACGTATTGAAAAAAAATTGTTTGTAAAATATTTATCTTAGATATGGAAACAAAACTGTTTACCACGTTTCGAAAAAATTCTTATGTTTCAATAAATTTTAAATTTCACTTTTGACTAAAAAAAAAAAAAAAGTTGAATAAACATTAATAGACATGTTGAACTTTTCTGGTTTTAATAAATCTGCACTAGCATAATAAATGGCACATTAAAGTAAACGAGTCCAAATGCAAACACATTATCTTCACGCTCCCGCGCAGATCCTTTCCGCCAGTCCACTTTAATTCCATCCAGCTTCCTTTTTCAGACACAGTCCGGTATCTTGGCTTTCTCTTAGGCCGAAGACTAACGCGGAACCCGCATAATAGACTGTATAGACATTAAATAGAGGATATGGCCAACTATACAGACTACTAACTAGAAAATCTCAACTTTTCAATTGACTACAAATTAATGATCCAAAAGACAATCCTGAAACCTATTTAGACCTACAAACTGGAACTTCGGATAACAGCAAAATTTTCTAACATCAAACGCATCCAATCATTTCTGACCAAAATCCTCCAAACAATAGTCGATACTGCATCCTATGTCACCAACAAAACCCTACATCCTTTTTTTTTTCTGTGAGGTCCTGTGGTCCGGCTCGACCCAATGTGCCTTCAATCTGGAATGAACGGTGGGGAAGTACTTTCTCAAGGTGGCTCCATTCTCACTTGCAATCCACCGCCCACTCCAGTCTTCTAGTGTCGCCTCTCGGACTATGCCACCCCATCTTCCTGGATCCTCACGGACCCTCCGCTGAAGCCTCTGGAAGTGCCTCCAGTCCCTGCCTCTTTAGGTCATTTATCCAAGCGTCCTCCTGAAGAGGTCCAGGCTAACCAACAATCCCTACATCCATGACCTTAATATCCCATTTGTCCTAGGCCTTAGCCTTAAAACGTTTTTCAAATTTCGTGGGAACCTTAGAAATCATCCACATCCCCTTGCACGATCTATCCCTACAATCCTCCTTTTGTAGTATATATTATGGAGTTCTGGAAATAGCCAGATTCGGCACTTAAGACATGATTGTATGCGGCTAACGCGCTCTCGCTCAATCTTCACTGGCTTTAGCACCAGTGACGCAGTTGAGAGAGTAGCGCAGGGATCTCTTGGAGTCCCACTTTTCCCTCTATAGTTGCAGGGACAAGCTTGGTTTGGTGTTCCCTTCCTGATTGTATACATTGCATATAGACATGGCAGCGTTTTTAATTTACTTATCTTTAAGTTATTTTTTTTCATTATATACTTTTTGATTACTATTTAGTTGTTATTGTGTTATTTTTTTTAATTCAATTTTCTGTATTTGTAGTATGAATGTGTTCATATCTCACTATAATTATTGTCTGTGTGACAGATTGTCATATTTCTGAAAAAAATAACAAAATGAATCTATTTAGTCTATGATCGATTATAGGCTTAGACAATTTGTTAATCATGTACGATTCCATTCTGACAAGAATTGAAAAATTGCTTAAATACACAATATCAAAGGAATTCAGGATGTGTTGTTGAAAAAGCGAATCTTAAAGTGAATTGAAAATTAATTTTCTGAAATCAATTTTTTAAAATAATTTATTCTATGTGTTAGTGTTCACGCGCACGCGCGCGCGCGTGTGTGTGTGCAAATTATTATATTTAATTAATAATATTTTGTAATAGTAGATTATATTGCTACAGCATTGTAAAATAGATTATATGCTATTTTCATTTTCATGATTAAAAAAATATATATATTAAAAACATAATACTATAAATATATTAAAAATGAATACTACAGCATTTTACGAGTAATTTAGAGCCGATGTTCTTGGAACCTATGCGCCCGCCCCACTGAGGAGCACCGGAATTTGAACTTGATTGGTCAGGTTGCCCAGGCAAGGCAGTTTTA